CCGCGCCGTGCAGACGAACCAGCCGGGGAACGCGGCCGACTCGAAGCGCGTCGTGCCCTCCCGGGGGCTGTCCAGGCGGTAGAAGATGAACCGAGTCAGCTCCAGGCTCACTATGTCCCTCCTCACGTCAGCCTCCTGCAGCCACAGCGGGGACAGGGTCAGGATGGCATGGAGAGGGACACCAGCACCGTGGGGGGACAACGTCAGGGCTGGGTCACTCCATCCAGGAGGGTGTTGAGGAGTTGGGAGAGTCCAGAGAAGGGAATGGAGATGGAGAAGGGTCTAGAGCCCAAGTCCTATGAGAAGTCCTATGAGGATTTCTCCTCGTAGGACTGTGAGTACAAGTCCTATGAGGAAAGGCTGAGGGAAACAGGGTGAGGAGAGGATGAAGAGCCACCAGGACCATGGAGAGGTTCTGGGCCCAACACTGCCAGGAGGGTGTTGAGGGGTTGGAGGTGTCCAGAGAGATGAGGAAGGGGCTGGAGAAGTATCTGGAGTCCCAGGAGAGGCTGAGAGAACTGAGGTGGCTCAGCCTGGAGAAGAGGAGGCTCAGAGGGGACCTTATCACTCTACAACTCCCCCAACACTGCCAGGAGGGTGTTGAGGGGTTGGAGGTGTTCAAGGAAGGGAACGGAGATGGAGAAGGGTTTAGAGGACAAGTCCTATGAGGATTTCTCCTCATAGGATTATGAGTACAAGTCCTACGAGGAAAGGCTGAGGGAAACAGGGTGAGGAGAGGATGAAGAGCCACCAGGACCATGGAGAGGTTCTGGGCCCATCACTGCCAGGAGGATGTTGAGGGGTTGGAGGTGTCCAGAGAGATGAGGAAGGGGCTGGAGAAGTATCTGGAGTCCCAGGAGAGGCTGAGAGAACTGAGGTGGCTCAGCCTGGAGAAGAGGAGGCTCAGAGGGGACCTTATCACTCTACAACTCCCTGCCAGGAGGGTGGAAACAGGTGGACAGGGAGCAAGTGACAGGACAAGAGGAAACACTTCCAGCTGCATCAGGGAAGGACATCAGGAAGGACATTAGGTTGGACATCAGGGAGGACAGAAGAAAGGACATCAGGAGGACATCAGGAGGGACAGAAGGACATCAGGTTGGACATAGGGGAGAAGTTCTTGGCAGTAGCTTCTCAGGGAGGTGGTGGAGTCACCATCCCTGGAGGAGGAGCTCATGGCACATAGAGCCATGGTCTGATGGCCAAGGTGGTGATGGGTCCCAGGTTAGACCTGATGACCTCAGAGGTCTCCCCACCCCAGGGACTCTGTTCCTGCCCCTCTCACCTCCAGCTGCAGCACGGGCTCCGAGCCACTCAGCACACACGACATGTAGAGTTGGTAGCCCTTGATGCCCAAGGCCACTGGAACCTTCCCAGGCCCAGAGCCACCCTGTGTCCCCGGGGAACGGTACAGGGCGATGTTCAGCTTCACTGCAGGGACAACACAGTGGTCAGTGGTGGTCCCAGGGCTCTGGGGTTGTACCTAGCTGCTTCAGGAGGTTGGGATGGGCTAATGGTTGCATGGGAGGAATTACTGGGTGCTCCTGGAGCTTTGGGATGGCTCCAGGAGGTTGGGATGGGATGAGTTAATAGTTGCATGGGATGAGTCTCTGGTTTTTCCTGGGGCTTTGGGATGGCTCCAGGAGGTTGGGATGAGTTAATAGTTGCATGGGATGAGTTAATGGTTGCTCCTGGAGCTTTGGGGTGGCTCCAGAAGGTTGAGAAGGGATGAGTTATTGGTTGCTCTTGGGGCTCTGGGGTGACTCCAGGAGGCTGGGAAGGAATGAGTTAATGGTTTCTCCTGGGATTTTGGGAATAGGCTGAGTTACTGGTTTCTCCTGGGGCTTTGGGATAGGCTGAGTTACTGGTTTCTCCTGGAGCTTTGGGGTGACTTCAGGAGGTTGGGAAGGAATGAGTTAATGGTTTCTCCTGGGATTTTGGGAATAGGCTGAGTTACTGGTTTCTCCTGGGGCTTTGGGATAGGCTGAGTTACTGGTTTCTCCTGGAGCTTTGGGGTGACTTCAGGAGGTTGGGAAGGAATGAGTTAATGGTTTCTCCTGGGGCTTTGGGCTAGGATGAGTTACTGGTTTCTCCTGGAGCTTTGGGATGGCTTCAGGAGGTTGGGAAGGAATGAGTTCACGGTTTCTCCTGGGGCTTTGGGCTAGGATGAGTTACTGGTTTCTCCTGGAGCTTTGGGATGGCTTCAGGAGGTTGGGATGGGTTGTTGTTTTCTCCTGAAGCTTTGGGATGGCTCCAGGGGGTTGTGCTGGGGCTGTGTCCCTCACCTTTCCTCCCAGCTGAAGGTCCCTGGAGGTGCAGAGCCACGAGCTGCATGGGTGACTCCAGCACGAAGCACTTGTGGTCGATGTCGAGGATGTCGAAGGACTGGGAGCGCGTGTAGCGGAACATGGGAGCTCCTGCCAGGCTGCTGCCCACGGCCTGGAACCTCACGGGCTCTGCAGGGACACGTTGGCATGAGTCCTCCTGGGTGGGGTGGATGGCTCGGGGGTGGGTGGCTCCTGGGTGCTCCAGGAGGTTGGGATGAGTTTTTGGTTGGTCCTGGGGCTTTGGGATGGCTCCAGGAGG